CGATTTGGTGTAATGTCACGCGATCAGAAAAATTCAAAACAAACGTTCGTTTTGTCAAAAATCGCTTGTATCTCAAAATCTGTATAGGAAACCATCTCCTATGCATTAATAGCAGGTTTTTTTTGAGCTATTTTACTGTTATAACCCTTAACTCTAACACTAAAATAGGCCCTAACCCTAACATAAATGAACTTAAAGAATTTTGTTGGACATCACGTGATGGTAAAAATTTTGTTGGCGATACTGGGGAAGATCTGAAGTAAAACTATCCCAGGACAGGGACCCAAAAAATTATTGTATTGATTTGAAAAAAATATTGATTTGATTTTTAAAAAATATTGATTTATTTTAATATAAATACAAAAAATATTGATTTGATTTTGATAATTTTTTTAAAAAATTTCGATTTATATTGATATAAATTTTATTTAAAATTATTATTGTAATACATCATTGTAAGCATTTTAAGCGAATCACAACTAAAATTATGTTTATCATCACATAAAATTTTGTTATAAGTTGAAAAACTTCTTTCTACATTACAGAAAAAAATTGATAACCAGATATAATCTAGTATAATTTGTAATAAAAGTGGAAGTTGATACAAAATTTTTATCCAAAAATCTTCTAAATTTGTATAAATAAATGCTTTAAGATTAATATTGCAATATATTTCCTATTCATGTAAAAGTTTTATTGATGGATTATTTAATTCAGAAATTATTTAATAAATCCTAATATCTCGATCATTAATAGAAAGTGTAATAATAAAATGTGGATCAAATATATGCACTGTTTTAAATAAAGGATGTGCTAAATAATTTTTAATATGCACACAATATTTAGCATATACAACATTATATGCTTGTTAAAATATTGGATAAAAAGAATCAGAAGAAGTATTAAGTTTTGTAAAAATATCTAATAATGGCTATTCAAGATTAGTTAATGTTTTACTATTGCAAAGAAAAATATCTAAATTTTCTATTCTATTTTCAACTAAAGGAAAGATAGGCACTAATTGCTGTTGAAAAAATCTAAATCTAAAACAAATTTGGATGCATAATATTTAATAAAATTTAAATAAATTTTAATCAAACTATTATTATTTTAATCTATAAACATTATCATAATATATTTAATAATTGGTACTGAATAATCTTGACTTTCTTCTTGATAAAAATCACAAATTAATTCCAGATATTCTGCTATATAAAACACCATTTTGAACCAGAAATTCCATCTCATTGTAGTAGATAATGGAATATTGGTAGGTTGAAAAACTCCAAGACATTTTAAATAATTAAAATATTGTATATGCTAATTTTTAGATATAGCAAAAGTTTTTTTATATCAGTAAGAAACTTGTGAACAATTTTAAAATGTGTAATCGAAGCCTATGATTCTCTAGTTAAAAAAATAATATACATTAATAAATAAACTAATAAAGTTAACCAAATTTAAAATGCTTACTCTATTAAATTTATAATATGTGCTAAATATAGAAGGTAAACCAATTGTAATATTATAGGATTTAGAACTTCTCACATACACTTCTTCATATATTTAGCACTATCAGATATGATTAGTCTTGATATATTAAATGGAATATCCTATTGCACTAAAGTTTTAACAATAAGTTGTCTAACTGTTTGTTATTTATATTAACTAAATAATTAACTACTACTAATTTTGTATTCTTATGATAATTAAACAAAATATTTACTACACTTCTCATCTTAATATCAGTAGTTTCATCCACAATAATACTAACATACTTATTTGCAAATATTTCTTTTAAACTAGCTAAATGATTATCAAAAACATTTGACAAATAATAACACCTTAAAGTATTTGATTTAGAAATTGAACTCCTATCACAAACATATTTTCTGATTCAATTTTCTAACTTATTCACTTTTTCAAGCAGTATATTTGCACTTACAGAAGCTTTAATTAATTTAGAAATTACTATCTATTTAGAATCTTGAGCAGAAATAAAAGTATTAAGTATTGGCTAGATTAATAAATTTTTTCTTTCAATAAATTCTGCTTTATATTTTTATGTCTTTTTGAACTAAGATAAGCTATTACTGCAAATTTGCTTGTAAAAGTTACAGATTTTGCACAAAAATAACACATCAAAAGACTATTATCAGCTCAAATTTATAGAAAATTCTTGAGCCTGGCTATAGGCTGTAATACATTTTAGTGGCATAATGCTTAATTTTTAAAATCTATAAAATTTAATACATATAAAATTAATTTTATAAATTTAATAAAAATTAGTTAATATAAAGAAAACTTACTTTAACCAAAAAAATTTTTTTGTTTAAAGAGTTAAGTATCTACTAGTAAAAATCCTCTTTCAGGGTTTTTTTTCTTTTTTTTGAAAGGCCCAAAAAATTGATAATAACTAGGGCAAAGTGCTCAATAATATACTTTCTAAGAAAAAAACTAGAGTTTTTTTTTGTCAAAGTATAGAATATAGATTAATTCGATATTCTGAAAAATTTTTTTTATTGTCAAAAATTTTTTTAATACGAATTAATTTTGTAATCTTACTATTTTTAATATAATTAATTATTTAACTAAATTAATATTGTAATTGTTAAAGTTCTCGAAGGAGGCAGTGTATATATTGATATGAGGCTAACACAAAAGTGTGATGTCTCTGATATCATAAAGTAGATTTCAGAATGTGTTCTCTTTCGTAATAATCTAAATATATAAAGGTGAAGTATTTATTCTAATAAATAGAAGAACTTTATTTTCATATTAAATATCAATTTTATATTAATTTACCATGTGACTGTAAATAGCCAATCAAATCATCACATTCATAATTTTGGTAAAAAATATTGATTTATATTGATTTGAGTAAAAAATATTAATTTTATCAATTTATGCAAATCAATAATTTTTTGGGTCCCTGCTCCAGAATTGCTAACAAAATTCTGCAGACATGTGATCTCAAACAAATCAGATTTTAGAATCAGGTGGCACAATCAAGAAAATTCAAAACAAACATTTATTTTGTTAAACATTGCCTATAACTCAAAATTTAGCATAGATAACTGCCTTCTGTGTATTAACAACAAAATTTTTTTGGGTGATTTACTATTAAAACTACTCTAAAACAGCCTCTAACCTAAATCTAAATAAGCTTTAAAGAATTTTATTAATAATCACGTGACTGCAAAATTTTGGTGGTGATCCTGGGTAAAATCTGAAGTGATTAAAAATCACATGATTAAAAGAGAAGCAAGAACTACCAGATGATCTATAGACAGTATATAGAGACAGTACAATTATGTGATAATTAAATTTATGTAGATTATTTATTTTTTTAATTTTAATTAGATTTATCTCAACAACCACCTAACCAAATTCAATAAATCTTTTATTATTCAAATTCTACAGATTAGTAAAATTCAAATAACAAAAATTCATTGAATTTGATTAGATAGTTATTAAGATATCTTTGCTCAAAGTTAGAGAAAATTTTGCTACAGCTATTATTTTTATGTTAATTTTTTTAAACTTTAACTAAAAGTTTTTAACAGCCACCTAAAAAATTTGATAATTTTTTTTCATTCAGATTCTACAGTTCAGTAGAATTTAAATAAAAATCTATCAAATTTGATTAGGCAGTTATCAAAGTTAGAGAAAAATTTGCCATGAAGATTTGATAGTAATAACTTTGATCGAAGGTATCTCAACAACCACCTAATCAAATTCAGTGAATTTTTTTTATTTTAATTCTGTGAATCAGTGAATTTTAAATAAAAAAAATTGATTAAATTTTGTTAGGTGGTTGTCGAGATACCTTCAATTAAATTTTTAAAAAAATTAAATTGTCTATAAGATAATATTGTAGCAAAATTTTCTCTAACTTTTTGTAATAGTATCTCGATAACTATCTGATCAAATTTGATAAATTTTTTTTATTTGAATTTTATGAATCAGTAAAATTCAAATAAAAAAAATTTCATTGAATTTGGTCAGGTGGTTGTTAAGATACATTCGATCAAAGTTTAAAAAAAAATTAAAATATTTATAAAAATAATAGCTGTAGTAAAATTTTTTTTAACTTTGAGCGAAAGTATCTCAATAACTATCTAATCAAATTTGATCAATTTTTTATTTGAATTCTACTAATCTGTAGAATTAAAATAATAAAAAATCTATTGAATTCAGGTAGATGTTTGTTGAGATAAATTCAATTAAAATTAAAAAAAAAATCTACATAATTTAATTATATCACATAATTGCACTGTCTCTATGCACTGTCAGTAGATCATCTGGAGAACTACTATTGTGAGTGCATCTATATACCCCACCCAAAATAGAAATAATCATCATTGTTGTTATTTTTTAATGATTAATGTTAATCAAAATTAGAGGATGGGTCAAATATAGTGTTGTAGTAAAGGTAGGGCTATAGAAAAATATATACCAGAATTTTAAAGGAATTTTTTTTGTTATAATGCAAAAGATAGTTTCATATACAAAATTTTGTAATATTGACAATTTTTGAAATAAACTATTTGTTTTTTAATTTTAATGCTACACACTGATCGTTCATGTAGTATCTATATTATTAATATTAATTGACTGAATACCGGTTTTCAAACTAGTTTGGGGCATATAGATGTATGCCTACTACTGTATCACTATCAAAAATGTCATTTTCATGTAATGATCTACATCAATTAACCAATAATTAATCACAATTTGATGTAATATAACACAATCACAAAGATCTAAAACAAATGTCAATTTTGTCAAAAATTATTGATTTCTCAAAAATTCACATAAAAAACTGCCTTTTGTACACTAACAAAAAAATTTTTTGAGTAATTTTACTATATTTTTTTATTCTCTAACATTAGTTTAAATACTAACTCTAATATAAACAAACTTAAAAGTTTTTTTCGATAGTCATGTAAAAGTAACATTTTTGATAGCGATACTGGGGAAGATGAGAAGCGGGCCATATGAAAACTCAGCCACAGACAACATGGGTCAGAACCAGAGCATGTAAAAATAAGAGGCTAATGATTTCTGGTAACTTTTCTACAAAAAAATTTCCAGAATGTGATTTTTAGCCAATTAGATCGAAGGATTAGGTATAATGTAAAATCAAATTAAGCAAGTAATAAGCTTCATCTTAAGGTTAGGAATAAGGCTAAGAAAGATCATAGCATATATCAAATTTCACAAAAAATTTTTTTTGTTAGAACACAGAAAGCAGTTTCATAAGCAAAATTTTGAGTTATTAGTGATTTTTAAAAAGATGCGATTTTTACATTACACCTGTTATGCCAAAAAATTTTTTGTGGGTGAGCTACAGGAGTTGAGCTAACAACCAAAGCAGAATCCAAATATGGGAAGACCTTAACCAATGCAGACGACAATGAAAAACTGCATAAGTTAGTATAAAACAAAAAAACAAAAAAAGGTCAAGCACCATAGATAAGTATAAATAACGAATACAGAGAGCCAAGTTCTCTAGGCTAAAAGTAGCTGAAATGAGAGTTCTCACCACCTACCCTACTAACCTGAAATCACCAGGAAACATGTGATTCTATCATTCTATTATGTATCACTTTGTCACTTACAGTTAGCTTACTTTGGCAGGTGGGAAATGGCCCAAAAGATTAGAAGCCAGATCTTACTCATATTTGATATATACCCTAAAGTTAATGGGATTCTATAGATATGATCAAGAATTTATTCATAGGTTAACATTTATCTGATTGGCTGATTGATTTAATTGTTCGGGTAACTAATTTATATGCTTTAAAGTACTTTTTAGAAATTCGACATTTCATTAACAAAAAAAATTTTTTAAATCATATATAGCTTTGAAAAGACACTAACAACTACTTTGCAAAGTAATTAAGAGATACAGTAATCTGTATCCTTAGCAAGTTTTGTTAGAAGAGAAAAATATGCCTCTCTTATTAGTCTGTATAGTAATATACCGCATATAGTACTGTATATACTATATGCAGTGTTGTTACAGGACAGTTGTGGACAGTAAGTTTGAACACTTTAGACAATTTTGGACAATTAAATAAATTAAAATTACTCAAAATTTTATTAAGATAACCTATATTAATTTCTAAATAAAATATATTCAGTATATAAAAAAATATATAATTATATATTTTTTAAACAAATTTATTAATTATTAAAGCTTGGACATGCTCTGGACACTTGTGGACACTTGTATATTTGGATATTAGACAGTACCAAAAAAGCCTTTGGACATTCAAAATGTACAACACTGCTATATGTATGTACTGTATATACTATATGTGAGAATTTTTGCTGATCATTTTATATATAGTCTGTTTTATGTTAATTAATTAGGTAGCTGTGTGATGTAGTCACGCTAAAACCAGAAATGAGAAGCTTTATTTAGAATTAGTTAATACGTTTAATTACAATATATATAAAGAAAATAATAAAAAGAAAATTTCAGTCATTGCTTTAAAAATTTAGTATAATTATAGTATAAATCAATTTTATGAATTATTTTTTGATAGTTATTTCATTGATAAAGCTTGGGTTAGAGTTGGTCACTGAAATCTTTTTTGCCAAATCTGAGAGTTTTAGGTTTTGGATTATAGTTTTTGAAACCTCATCTGAAACTTTAAACCTTGCCCAAAACTCTATCCGAAACCCCAAAACCTGAAATTCCTTCTGAAACCTTGAAACTCCAAAACTTTATGATTGAAAAAATTTAGAATGCTTAATGATTCAAAAAATTGTCAAGTTTAGATGTTAGCAAATTTTCTATAAGTCTGTTTTCCAGTTTTCAAAGATATGGATGTATTTCATAGTGAAGTCTCTAAAAGGTTAAGTGATTCTTAGAACAGGATCGAAAAGCTTTCAGGAAACAAAAAAATTTTTTAGGTATCTCAGAACAGCTGTAAACCAGTTGACAAACTCTTGATCATCTCTCTAACTTTTTTAATATTAGCACCTATTCATGTGGCATGTTTATTATAAAAGTCTATTTTAAATCTATTTTATATCTGGAGCCTTTTTTATATTTCTTGTCAAGATTTATTTGTTAATAAAAATTCCTTTTCCATAAGCTTTTGCACAAATTAAACATACCAAATATGCTAAACAAGTATTCAAATGAAAGTTTAATAATGTTGAATGTGTCAACATTACAATAAAAAAATGGGTATACTTCTATTAAGAATAAAATAGAATAAAATAAAATTATTATAGCAATAAATTTCAATTTATTTCAAAAATTGAATTTTGAAAATATTTCATGTCCTTGAAAATAAAAACAGTTATAATATGCATATAATAATATATAGTATACAGATATATATGTTAGGAAAATAAGTAAGAGTGTTGAAAAGTAGAAATGCCTAAATAAATTTCAATATATTATGTTTTTAAAGTTTCAAATTATAGTTTGAGGTTTTGGATTATAGTTTCGGAGTTTCAGATTTCGAGTTTCAGTTTTTTTTTAAAAAATCTGAAACTAGTTTTGGATTAGAGCTTTCCAAAACTAGTTTCGGGTAGGTTTTAACTCTAGCTTGGGTGATAGAATTGGCTAATAAATGGTTAGTGTTGGGTACAAAGCTTTAACATATATCTGCATAGCTTAGTCAATGAGCATTTTTTGCGAATAATGAACAATCTATACTAATATTTGATACTGTGAAGATTTATTTGTCTGTTTTCTATATTTTATGATTTCAATGATAGATAAGATCATAATTTAAAAAATAAATGGGTAAGTTAGTGATTTGCAATAGTGGGTGATTAACAATTTTAATGGTGAGTAGAATAATGATTTTACAATGGGCGTTGGTGATTTTAAAAATGGGTGAGTGATTTGAACAGCGAGTGAGTTTATTATTTCGACAATAGATCAGTTAGTGCTTTTAATATTAATGGATTAATTTTAACAGTAAGTAAATCAGTAATTTAAATAAGTAATTCAATGAGTATTTTATGATTCGAGTAATGATAAGTAAAAGATTTTAGCAATAGGTGATTCCAGATTTTGTAGTGTAAATTCATAACTTAGCAGAGATTTTAACAGTGAATGATCATTTAGCAATGCGATTCGTGACTTTGACAGAGATTGGTCATGATTTTAATAGTGGGTAAAGAATATACAAGATGTGACAACTATGATCATGCTGACCAATCAGGTATTAGATTTTGGGTACGCACATAGTTTTCTTCTCGAATAAGCTATACACTTCATAATATTCATCACTCTGTTTCTAGTATTAAAATTTTTTCCATAGTAATAATGCAGATCTATTTCTAATTATATACTATATATACTGTATGTACTGTACGTACTGTATGTGAAAAAAATTGGGCTATCATATAAATAGCACATCACTATATATGAGTCATTATCTTCAATATCTGCACTCATATTTTATATAAAAATAAAAATTTTAAAAAAAATAATGATAATTAAAGAGAAAAATGATAACGATAAATAAGGTGACATAAAAGATGATTAAACCTGAATAATCGATCTGATGATCATAGTTCTTGTACAATGCAAATATCTAAATAAAGTAAAACTGAAATTTTATGAATTTTTAAATTAGAATTTTTAAAACCTTTATAATAAGATAATACAAGTATTATATGAGTTTCCAATCAAAATTCAATATTTCAGGGCAAATTTGCAGAAGAAACGGTTTAAGGGTAAATATTATTTAAATGTTAATATATCATGATCATGTAATCAGCAATTAATGATTTTGATACCATTTGATTCGTCTTGATGAGATGGTTCGAATGGTATCAAAATCATTACATCCGGTTCACTAGATCGTGAGTTATTTGCACAAAACTATCTGCCATGCAGAAAACTTAAATTTCTGTAGAGCTGCATTGCAAATTGTTTTTTGCAAATACCTCTTGACAGTGTTGTTACGGGACAGTTGTGGATAGTAAGTTTGGACACTTTGGACAATTTTGGACAATTAAATATATTAGAATTACTCAAAATTTTATTAAGATAATCTATATTAATTTCTAAGTAAAATATGTTCAGTATATAAAAAAATATATAATTATATATTTTTTAAACAAATTTATTAATTATTAAAACTTGGACATGCTCTGGACACTTGTGGACACTTGGACACTTGGACATTGGACAGTACCAAAAAAGTCTTTGGACAGTCAAAATATACAACACTGCCTCTTGAGCTAGTGATCAGAATTTGATGATTTTGATGCCATTCAAATCGTCTTGTCGAGATGAATTGAATGGTGCTAGAATCATTAAATTCTGATCACAGGATCCTGATATATTGGCAAAAAAACAAAATTTAAAAAAATTTCAGGGCAGATTTGCCGGAGAAACTGTTTAGGAGATAATAAAAACATAGAATAAGGAATTTATTATCTGGTGATCTCTTTGTGGTCAATCAGATAGCATGATTGCATACGTATGTTGATAAGTATTTTTGTAAGTTGAAATTTGTCTAAGAAACCACTCTTTGCATTCTAACGAAAAAATACTTCTCAAAAACTTTTGATATAAAACCTTAGTAAAGGCTACTCGAGAAAAAATGTAAAAGATTTGGTTTGAGAACCGGAGTTCCCACTGCTACTAGGGTTTCCGGGTAGGGTTGGGTTGATCTTGATTAGCAAACAGTATATTTTGTTTCCCTTCCCTATTACATGAAAGCCGAGTTTTTATACATAATGCATACATCTGAAGCTTTGCTATTACACTTAACATCTAATCGGAAGACATAAGTAATATGACTACTTAAGGTATCAAGTGTAACAATACAGTCAAACCTCTCTAAATACATTGTGACGAATCATATACTGTATAGAAATTTAGTCAAACGTGTATTTAAAGAGCTATTGCATTTAAGAAGATAAAAATATATATTATATTAGTCGGGCGCAAGTGAGTGAGTGCATTTAGAGGTCTCATTTACATGACTATGACTTCGCTTATACCATTTACAACCAGAGGCGTCATATTTTTGTTCTCTATGAGAACTTCGTTTCGAGCCATACCCAAAATAGCATTTACTAAATGTTATCTTTCACATGTTGATCATTTGATCTGGTACTTTCTTGGTCACGACCCTCGGTCGTGTTTGATGCCGGATCTTATCTCCCAATTACACTATATAAAACACTATACATACTGTACGTACTGTACGTACTGCACGCGAAAAAAATTGGGCTATCATATAAATGGTACATCACTAGGTATAAATATGTTTCGCCTTTTTTTGGTTATTAAGGCTAAATAATTGGGCACACGAATTATGTATGTTGTTGAAAAAATTTTATGCATA